CATTTTTGTCACCTCACCAAAAAAGATACCCCATACGCCTTAGCACTACCCCACCTCCTGTCCCATCCCCTCCAGGCCTACACAACCACTACTCTCTGTAGTAATCTATGTCAGAATAATCTATTACTGCTAGGAATCTACTCTCTGTCTCCACAGATTTGCTTATTCTGGACATTTTGTATAAATGGAATCATGCAATATGTGGTCTTCTGTGACTGGCTTCTTTCACTGAGCAAACATCATGTCTTCAAGGTTCATCCACACTATAGTGTGATCAATACGTCATTCCTTCTCATGGCCAAGTAATAGTCCAATACATGGGTATACCACAGTTGCCTATGCATTCATCAGTGAGTGGCCATGGACTTGATATTTTGATCAACTCTTTTGATTTGACACAGAGCTTTGGGCAGTTGGGATGTGTATATATTCATGACCTATGTCATGACCCTAAGAAGCATAAAATTAAACTTAGCTTTGCTTATTGTTTTAATCACTCATTATGGTGCGCATCAGTTTCTCAGGGATGGTTTGAACACTCAGTGATGGAGTGTCTGTTGAGAGTCTGCCTTGGTAATAAGATAGCCAACTAAAATGGTGGAGTCAAGATGGCCCCACCTGAGCAACAGATTCCTAAGTGCAGGAAACAGCAGGGAGCACATCTTAGCCAGCTGGAGCTCCCCCTGAGGCTTCGGTGACCCAAAGGGAATGGGAGAGCGAGAGTAGGCACCAGCCCCATAGCCAGCATTTGGTAATAGCTAACAATTCTGGAACGCTGGCTTCATGCCACACCCCATTCTAAGAATTTTACACGCATGAACTCATTAAATCCTTCCAATGACCATATATCACAGGTGCTACCATCATCATCCCCATTTTACAGATAGAAACGAGGCACCGTGCTCACTTGAGCAGCATATATACTAAAAGGGGAGCCTGGGTGGCTCAGTCGGTTGTCTGCCTTTGGTTTGGGTCACGATCCCAGGGTCCTGGGTTTGAGCTCAGCGGGGAGCCTGCTTCTCCCTCTCCCTCTTCCCCTCCCTCACCCCCTCCCCCTGCTCATTCTCTCTCTCTCTCTCTCTCTCTCTCTCTCTCGGTCTCTCTCTCTCAAATAAATGAATACAATCTTAAAAAAAAAAAAGAAAGAAACTGAGGCACAAAAAATTTAGGTACCTCGTCCAAGGCCACAGAACTAGTAAATGCAGAGGCAGGATTTGAACCCAGGCAGTCTGGCTCCAAGCCTGAGCTCCGTGCTCTACTGTCCCACACAGAGCATGAGAACATCGCGAGCTATGCACTCCTCCTGCGATAGACAGGGCTCATTCTGAATCTTCTGGGGACTTTGGGGATTCTAGCCACTTCCTGGTGTCTCTGGGAGAATGATGGCACAGCCTCCAGGAAACAGGGCACGTGTTGCAGACTGGGTTGGAACAAAGGCTGATGGATGTAAAGAATTCTGTTTACAGATGAGGAAACTGGGGGTCAGCAAGACCCACATCCAAGACTAGAACCCAGACTCAAAATAAATGTGTTTTCCTTATGCTTGTCCAATAGGTAATGGGTTTGATAGAGACATTTAACAGATCTTACCTCACAAATTACATCTATAAGGTCCTACCACTATAATGGCACTCGGGATGAACATCTCTGTCCCCCTTCTCTGTCCCTGCTGTGATCTGGGAAGGCACCTGGACCCTAACCCAGCCTGTGCCACCGCCACTAACCCAGCTGACCGCACCTGGATGACCTGCCACGCACCTGAGGCTGTGGGCTACACTGATTCTAAGACCACTAACGTATCATAGTGTGTCCCACCGGCCGACCAAGGGCTGCTAAATTCTGTCCACGCTGCTGGGCTGCAACCACATCCCGGGAGAAAGTGGGAAGCCCTAAAGGTCCTCAGGTGGGACACGCTGCCTGGCGCAGGGGTCTGTGAGTCCTTCATGTGAGCACAGTCCCTTACCTGGGTTTCCCCTGGGAGAGACTCTCAGAGGCCAAGGACCTGCTATTTTCAGATCCTTAAAGCCTACAAATGGGCAGGTAGGGGATATTTGGGACTTTTGGGGGCTTACATGAAATATTTGAGCAGCGTTCACATACAACGTTTCTATTCCTCCCCCTCATCTTGTTGCTGTTTTTCCCCTCCTTCACCTCCTCTCCATTCCCACCACCTCCAAAAAGGGCCGTTTACCCTCTAAGGGCCACCATGGTGATCCCAGTACCTGCTGTGACATCTACAGATGTTCAAGAAATGGTGAAGAAGGGTCTCAGCAGCACAGGAGGGGGCGGGGGAGTGCGGACGCGATGCTCTTTCTGTGCAGTGACATCCCAGGATTCTCACCGTCTGTCGCCTGAGCCACAGCGCTCTTCCGGCCCCGACGGGATATCCCGTCTGCAGCCTGCAGGCAAATGTGTGCCAGGCCCGCGTTGCGGCCACAGGGAGAGCCAGTTCAGTACCCGGAGTTCAGTCTGTGGACCCTCTCTTTTCCTTACTCTGTGCATCCTCTGATTTCATCTCGTCCTGTGACTGCGAATACCAGCCCAAACGAGTGCCTTTCCAAGTTCTGGGTCCAGCCTGGACACCTCCTCTGAGCCCCGGACTTGGTTACGTTCGGCTCCCTCTACTGCATCTCCTCCTGGATGTCTACAGACGTTTCAAACTTCCACGACCAAGACAGAACCGTTCATCCCCCGTCTACCCTCACTCACATCTCTCTGCCCAACCCAGGAAAAAAGAGCCCTGCATCCCGTTGTCCAGATCAAACTTCCAGGAGTCGTCCTTGGCTGCTCCCTTCCCTTGTTCCCAAGACCCAGTGCGTCAGTAATTCCTCACTGTCCTGCCCCCAGATACCCCCTTCTGACCCCCTGCCCGCAGCAAGCCTGGCTACTCCACTGTTAGCGCTCAGCTGGACGACCTACAGAAGCTTCTTCCTGGTCTCTGCTTCCTACTCCCATCCGTCCTCCACAGAGAGCCTCTTGTGTGTGACCTAGCTCACACCCCTCCTTGAAAACCCCCGAAAGGCGTTTTCTGCTCAGGAGAGTTTTCCTCCCATCTTTTCCCCAGCTGGGATTTAACTCAGGTGACCCCTCCTCGTAAATGTCTTCCCCCACCCCCAGAGATAAAATGCCCTGTTTTATCTCCTCCTTAGCACTGAACAAGTCCTCTTATTTACCTGTGTGTATGTCGCCCCCGGAAGAGCAACCCCTTAAGTGTAAGGATTCTGTCTTTTTTACCGTGATACCCCAGGGCCTAGAACAGTAGATATTTACTGATGACAGATTATATTAGTGACTGAGTAAGCTAACCCTTCCAGGAAAGGTCTAGAGTTCCTTAGCATCTTGGTCTGGAAAGAGCTTGAGCTTTGGTATCTAGATAAGTCTGGTGCTGGCACTTCCTGACCTGAATAGCAAGTTACTCAGCAACTAGGGGTGGTTTCTTCTCCTGGAAGAAGTGTTTTGAGAGTTACTGCAAGTGTACCAAGTGCTATAAAGACAGTGCTTCCCACAAAGCAGGTGCTCTAGGAATGTAGGTAGGTCAAATGGGCCTTCCTGGTTCCCGGTCCAGTGCTGTTTGCATCATCCCAGGAGGGTAATGGCTGGACGTTGGGTGAACTGAAGAGTGAGGGATAAGGTAAGAGTGTTAAGGAAAACTCTGGAACAATTGTGGCATCCCAGAGAGACAGTTTGTTGATCCTTTTGAAGTGACAGTTTAAGTATGGTCATGTTGGAAGGGTGTGAATCCCTTAAAGGACTGTGTTAAGATCCGTCGTCGTTCTAAAAGAGCAAAGAAGCAAACATACTCCATACTTTTTTTTTTTTAAAGATTTTATTTATTTGAGAGAGAGAGAATGAGAGACAGAGAGCACAAGAGGGTAGAGGGTCAGAGGGAGAAGCAGATTCCCCGCTGAGCGGGGAGCCCGATGCGGGACTTGATCCCGGGACTCCAGGATCATGACCTGAGCCGAAGGCAGTTGCTTAACCAACTGAGCCACCCAGGCGCCCGATACGCCATACTTTCAAGGCTCTGGTTGTCTGGCCTGTTTCTGGTGAGCAAAGAGAACCTTCCTATTCGCCGAGAGCAGGGGTTCCTCAGCCCCCAAGCTGGTCCTCTCCTTGCTTCTCCTCCCAAGCTGTAGATGGAGAGGCCTCCCTTGGTGCCTTTTTTCCCTAATCCAGGGCCCAGACAATGTCAGATACTTAGCCGTTGGACCAAGGAGGAGGGTGGAGACCCCGGAGCAGAGTCAGGGAGGTAGGTAGAGCCTGCGATTCAGGTCTGTACACAAAGGTTCCACTATGTGGATGGTCAGCAGCATGCAAATTGTATTTACTCAACGTGGCAACAGCTCGGGGGAAGTTCCATGCTCTCCAGACACAGGGACTCCTCAGTTCTCAGAAGAAAGTCCCACAGAAATGGAAAGTAAACACCAGAGGTGATTTTTTTTTTTTTTTTTTTCTGGCCTTGGCAAAGTCAGACAGGAACCACACGAGTGGTTTCCAAGCTGGCTGGCAGGGCCAGGCTGGATCGGTGGCAGGGAGGGCTTGGTGAGCAAGATCTGGGCCCGGGAGAACGGAGTGGAGACCCGAAGTCTGGAAAGACGAGTGTCCGCTAAAGCGAGACACAAAGGGAGATGAGTCCAGAAAACAGATTGAAGACATAGAGATTAGCCTAAGAAGAAAGGACGCACTGAGGTCTCAGCAGTGACTCAGACCCAGTCTGGAGGCAGGCCGGGGAGAACCTGTGGCCGGCGTGGTCCCAAGGGGTAAGTTAGGGTGTCAGCGACTCTGGGAACAGGTACAGCCCTGACCCTGCGAGCTAAGTTGGATGTGGGGGTAGGGGGAAGAAAGCACCCTTCGACAAGGACTTTCTACGCTCTGGGCTCTGTGTTAAATGTTTTATGGACATCTTGGGGACAGAGGAAGAACACTTAATCCCAGGGAGGCTGTGGGGTCCCAGGAAAGTCTGGGGCTAGGCAGGGACCCTGAAGTCTTTCTCAGTCCAGGTGAGACGGTGGCCTTACCAAACCGGCCTCAGGGCCAGGAGAGAAAGCTAGAGGAGTCGCTCGCTAACCTGGAGCCAAGGTGGTGCGCCTCTGAACCACTGGAGGAGGTTAGCAGCCGTACCCGCCAGAATCACAAGGCAGAAACCCAGGCGGAACTTCAAGCAGGCTGAGCCATTGGCTTCTGTCCATCTCCAAGGCCACGCTTCTCCCGTTGTACCAGTGCAATCCAGTGGCTAATAATAGTTTCATTTCTTACACAGCACTTCACAGTTTTCAAAGCATCTCCACAAATTATACTATCTAACTGATACCAGTTGCTGGATTAGCAGGCGTTGGAGTAAAGCGTCTCATAGATTACTCTGTTTGGCTTCTACTGTGTGACTCTGGCTAAGTTACTTGCCCTCTCTGGCCTTCAATGTGGCAGCTGGGAGAAGGCAATCTTCTACAACATAGAATAAGAGTCTGGAGAGGGGCTGGTGGTGAATGGGTTTGCCAGGCTACAGCAAGCTCTGGAGTCCTTAGACATTCTAAAGAAGAGCCATTCATTGGGCTCCAGGAAAACAAACTCAGATGTATTATAATCTTTCCTTCAACCCAGCTTTTAAGCCCTAAATGCTTCCAGTTCTATCACTTCTGAGCCCCTTGCCAAGCCCCATTTTGAGACGAGGAAGTTAGGGAGGAGTTTTTGATCCCCGTACAGCTCTATTTTTATCTGGAATGTATCTTCCTGCACACCAGTGATTGGTGCCTTCGAAGCGGAGGTAAAGTACACTGTCAGCAGGACCCGAGCAATAAATAGCAACGGACAGAGAGACTGATCTGTTATGTGGGCAGGAAGTGAGACAGATGGACAAACCAATCGGCCAAGAGTGGCTCCATTAGTCGCTCTGTGCTAAAACCTCTCCATAGGACCCGAAGGACAAGATGTTTGCCTGTGACCACCCCTATCGTGGCAGGTGTGGGAGGCAGACAGGTGTGAGCCCCGGGAGCTCTGCCCAGCGGGCACGACTCGTGGGGGGGCCACAGGCTCCCCAGCTTTTCCCCAGCATTATAGGGAACACTGGCTCCCCGAATAGAGGTGAATCCTTCCACATCTGTATGCGAAGTCAGCACTGGGTGTTTAGGCTGGAACGGGCTTGACCTTGAATTATAGCGGGAAACAGTAAAGACGAACTGGACTTTCCTCCAGAACAGCCTGTTCTCAGATCTGAAGGTCTGGGTTCCAGCCGCTCCTTCCCATCTCTAAACAAAGCCTTCTTCACAGAGCTCGGCCCTGTTTACTTAACTTCACAGCAAGAGGTTAGTGGGGCTTGGGGCTTGCCTTACCCCTGCTCCAACCAGCCAGGGTCTAGCATGACCAATGACATTTACTTTGGAGGGAGCACCCAAATAAGAAAGGTTGGAGACACCTTCAAGCACAAAAAAGGAGGACCTAGGAAGCCTGCGTGCATGTGCGTGTGGCACACAGGGGCGCAGGCCTGCAGCTGGAGGGGGGCATGCCTTGTCTTTGTGGGCCACGAGCCCCGTGCAGAGACCACGGTGGGCTTTCTCGGGCCTGTTGCTGCCCAAATCCTAGTTTCAGGCTAGACGTGAGGAGGGGAAGTGGTAGGGGGCATTTGCAGCTGTGTAAGAAATGCCGTCATTGTGGTCCCCAAAACAAAAGCTTAATGTCTCTAGGACTGGACATTTAAAAAATACTGAAACCAGGTGGTTATGTAGGCCACATGCCAACGTCAGAAGTGGGGTGGCCGTTTACAGCGCTCGCTGACTCACCGAGTGTGTCTCGGTGACAAGCGGCACGTGGGCGCGAACGGTGTCCAGGGTGCGTCTTGGTCGCGTCAGGGAGCCTGGAGGCACCTGGAGGGAGGGACCAGTGACCTGCGCTGGTGGCAGAGCGGGGGCCCACGCATGCTTGTAGCCAACTTGGAGAAACCTACCTTTCAGGTAGTTCCTTCAGCAAAAAGGAACAGAAGGGGAAAGGGCTGAGCTTCTCTCCGGGAGGACGCTGTGGAGAGCAGGAATGCATTATGCAAGGACCTAACGTGAATCACCAGAAGGGCTCTTGCAAGGACCCCGCTGCCGGTAGTAATAACAAGCCTTCCAAAGCTCTTTACAGTGTGCCCCGCCTGACCCCGGCACTTCAGATAGAGAATTATTCAATCCACGGAAAGGTACAGAAAGGTAAAGCCATTAGCCCTGGTCACCGAGCTAGTAAGAGATGGAGGAACCCAGGGGTTGAATCCAGGTGGTCCGGCTTTCATCTGCATGCTACATGCCCCTCAGATTATTTCTTGATTAACTCAGCAAATAGGTACCAAATGCTTCTTTGTCCAAGGCACTCACTTAAGGAGAGAAGAGAAGGCCTATATACGTGTTCAAAGTTCAATAGAGGGCATTTGCTTACCCCGTTCCATACACTTAAAGCCCTGCTTTCCAATGCATTTGCCACCATTTCTGAAGGCCTCTTCTGACCAAGGGAAGACTTCTGTGCTGTCTCTGATATACCCCTTTCCAGTCTGGGTCTTTGCAGAATGAGGAACACTGGGCTTATACTACTTCCCAGATCCCTGGGTGCCCCTTCGGGACAGGACCCAGTCTTATTCCTCTCCAGACCCCCGGAGCCACACCCAGGGCTGAACGCATCGTCAAAATGCACTAAATGTGGTTGACTGGATGGTTTTTAAAATCCTTGGATGAGGGGCCGATTGCAAGATGCTATTAAAATACCTCGCTGTCCCTGCTTCCCTGCTCCAGGCCACAGCTCAGTGGTGCCCAGGAGCAACATGGAGAAGAGTCGAGTGCACATTTGCCCATTAACTTTCGCTTCCCCTTGGTTTGCCAGGACAGATCGGCAGAGTCCGGCGCCAATGTGGATGACTCGGCGTCCCCCTCGGTGGCCCAGCTGGCTGGGCGGTTCACGGAGCAGGCTGCCGCTGCAAAGGAGGTGAGTCAGGCGGCTCCTGAGCCCCTCTTCTGGGAGGGGGCTGGAGGAAGGGGAAGTCTGGGTCAGGCCCAGAGGAGAGGGAGGGAGGAGGCTTGGTAATTACCAAATTAGGAAGAGAAGCCAGAGAGGGGTCCCTCTGAATGTGAGGAATGTGGCCAGGCTGCTGGGCCTGTGCAGAATCTTTCCCCACCAGAGCGAGGCCGGGACGCGGC